ATATAAAGCAGAACACAGCTAAATGTATCAAAAGTATGTCTATGTAATATTAGAATTTTCTGAGACAATGAATTTTGGTTTTTCATTTTTTTCCCTGTAAGAGGTTTTTATTTAATAGAATTTTTGGACAAAAAAATCGCAATATATCGCCTTGCTTACAGTATCGCAATATATCGCGATATATCGTATCGTGACCCCTCTGTCATGATACTGTATGTATCGTATCGCCAAATTCTTGCCAATTCACAGCCCTACTGGGAACAGCTGACATTGATCCATACACAACTTTACACAGAAATCTACTGCGTCTTGTGGAGCAGAGGAATCATCACAGCTGAGCTGTGAATTAATCTGCTGAGTTGACGTTTTTTTCTCAGAATTAAAAATGTTTCTTAGACAATTCACACATTTTATTTCCCTCAGCTGTGTGTGCGCTCCGCAGGCCTGCGCTCTGCGTGTGTTTCCAACTACATGACAACAATATAAAAACATTTACAGTTTACAGACTGGACTGAGGTTCTTTGATCAGTTTTAGACTGATCTATTTTCTTGTCTGAGGTTAAATGATTTTCAGTCCCGGGGTTCAGTTTCATCATCGTTCAGTTCAAACAATAAAAACTCAAACTAAAATAAAAACCTAACACCGTGTTCAGTCGCTCCTTACATCCAGAAAACACAACAGAGTCATATTTCTGTGGATTCAGGTCAGATTCATGACTTTGTGGGTTAAAACTGTCGACTGAAAAACTTTGTGTGGCTGCCGCACATTCTCACGGCACGCAACGTTGGTTTTAATACATCACAACGTGGACGTAGAACCGGGCACACGCAACTTTTTTATGCGTACGCACCGTTTATACATGAGGTCCCTGCTCTTCTCTTACTCATTTTATTGTTCTGCTTTTTCATCAGTCAATATTTTTATCTCTCATGGTCAAAAGGCAAAGGTGGACAATCATGTTTCTGCCTGCCTGTTAGCAAAATATCTTATGAATACCTAGACAAGTTTGAATGAAAGTGATTATTTGATGAACATCTATAACTGGATGTAGAACTGGAATAAACCCAGTTAGCAAACACCACCTTAACCATCTGGCCTTAAAAACACACAAAAAAATTGTAATTACTCTGCCAACGTTGGAGATACTGAAATAAAATCTGTGTGGTACATTCAGAGTGCCAATCAAACTCTAAACCTTTCTTTAAAATATTAACATTAATTACGTGGTATCAACTGTCTGTTAGCGAAATATCTCATGAACCAAGGGGCAGACTTACAGGATTGGAATCAAAATGGAAAACAACTCTGTTACTCCATTTAAGATGAACTTCGTCTGAAAGTCTGGCATGAAAGGTGATCTGCCTTTTAATTTTCATTCTTGGTCACATCAAAGCTAAAGGGCAGCAGCAAGGGCACAGCAGGAGATCCTCATCACAAGCTTAATTAGGACCACCCGGCAGGAATACACACACACACATACACGTATCCTCCTGTGGCTGCTGCGTGTTCTGCTCTGCCCTGTGATGTTTATCCCAGCAGCAACGTCCTGTTAGCAAAATTAGCCCAGCACAGCACCTTCAGAACATCAGCACGGATATGTTGGAGCCGGGAGAAGGATGGAGCAGGAAAATGACCGGAGGCCCCTCACTCAGACACTCTTCACAGCAAGAGGAGGCTTTTCAGAGCGGCGGCCCTTTTGTATGATGGATCTGAAGAGACGATGATTCATCAGTAAAACACGGTTTTGACCTGTTCTCTCTGCTCCATCGTCTGGGTCGTGCACAGGGGTGGGCACTGACAGCTAAAATGGATCCTTCAGGTTGATTTTACTTTGGGCTTTTGAGCTTCGACGTTTAGAGGAAATGTTGTGCAAACTGTGAGTATTAAGGATTCACTGCTCTGATTCTAGAATACCATTACAGATGTTTGTCTAAAGATGAAAATATAACAAAACAGGCCAGATACTGAAGTTTAAGGAATGCATATCGTCCACAGCCTTTGCTGTGGAAAGATCGTTTTGAAAAAGAACGTGTTCTTTACTTCGTTGCGTGTCGAGAACAAAGAAACAAATACAGCATTTAGACTTGAATGTTATGTAAGTAATAAGGACATACAATGGGGTGCGAAAGTTTTGGCACCCTTTTAATTTTTCTGATTTACCTTTATAAATCATTGATTGTTTGGATTAAAAATATCAGTTAAATATATCATATAGGGGACAAACACAGTGATATTTGAGAAGTGATATGGAGTTGATATGATTTACAGAAAGTGTGCAATAATTGGTTAAACAAAATTAGGCAGGTGCATAAATTTGGGCACCGTTTTCGTTTTATTGATTTCAAAACCTTTATAACTGATTATTGGAACTTAAATTTGGTTTGGTAAGTTCAGTGACCCTTGACCTCCATAAACAGGTGACTCCAATAATGAGAAAAGGTATTTAAGGGGGGCAATTGTCAGTTTTTCTCCTCTTTGCATCTTCTCTGAAGAGTGGCAGCATGGGAGTCTGAAAATAACTTTCAAATTATCTGAAAACAAAGATTGTTC